GCTCATTCTGCCAATACCAGTCGCGTGCTGTCCTTCTACCAAAAATTACCAATAGATAAAAGGAACACTGGCTTGAGATAAAAGACAGAGACCGATAGACTAATCGATCCCCTCTGTGGATATGCGTGGTGACGAGGATTATCTTGAGGAAGATCGTGAGGATAAGGAATGTGATGACTGTGAAGAGAATGCTGATGGTGGAGATTTTGTCGAGGAATCATGGCAATGCTTTTATGAATGGCGGTGTTAAAAATAATGTTGAAGAGGATAACTATGATAGGAAATGTGATGATGATGGTGATGAAAGTGATGAAGAGGAGTATGGAGAGGATGATTGTAAATAAGGAATTTCATGGAATCATGATATCAATAGCAATGTTACTGATAATAAGAATAACGATAATAATCACGATGCTAATGATGATGATAACAGTAAATAAGTGGTTATAATGACGATGGCGAGGATAATAGTGATTATAATGATAATGATAGTGAAGTTGATGATGATTATAATAATGATAACAATAAGAATAGGGATAAAGATGATAGTGCTAATCAAAATACAGTATTAATGATAATGGTAATAATATCATTATGATAATGATAATATCATTATGATAATGATAACAATAATGACACTAATGAAAATGTCGATGTTGATAACAATAGTAATAGGATTGATAATGATGATGACATGAATGACACTAATGAAAATGTCGATGTTGATAACAATAGTAATAGGATTGATAGGAATGAAATTAATAACAACACCAAAAATAATAAATATGATAATGATAATAACAATAATGATAATGACAATACTGATAATAACAATAATAATAAAAATAATAACATTAGAGTAGAGTAATGATAATTAATAATAATAATAATAATAATGATGAATATGATAATAATAATAACAATAAAGATATGATAATAATTAATAAAATAATGATAATAATTGATGATAATGATAATATAATAATAATAATATAATAATAATGATAATAATAAAATAATAATAATAATAATAATAATAATAATAATAATAATAATAATAAATAATAAAATAAAAATAATAATTCATCAAAATTACTGACCTCTGTATAAATTAATTTTTTTTTTTTTCTTTTTTTTTTTGCTAACCATCTAACCAGCTAATCAACGCCACCAAACACAAACTCCTTGGATGAGGCAATAAAAACAACAATGTTAGAGGTTGCCCTGCAATTATCAGTTGCATCAATATACCATTTAAAATGCAATACAGCGCCTATTTTTCGGACTATGCATATTTCATTTGAAGCCTTTTTTAATCTGTTGTTAAAAGTTTGTTTTTCATTACTGTCTTTATACTTTTATTGCATTTGAATGATGTATGCGATGTAGGGAAAGAGAGAGAGAGAGAGAGAGAAGGAGAGAGAGAGGAGAGAAAGGAGAGAGGGAGAGAGAGAGAGAGAGAGAGAGAAGAGAGGAGAGAGAGGAGAGAGGGAGAGAGAGAGAGGAGAGAGAGAGAGAGAGAGAGAGAGAGAGAGAGAGAGAGAGAGAGAGAGAGAGAGAGAGAGAGAGAGAGAGAGAGAGAAGGAGAAGGAGAGAGAGAGAGAGAAAGAGAGAGTGAGAGAAACAGAGAGAGAGAGAGAGAGAGAGAGTCAGGGAGAGACAGTGAGAGTGAGTGAGAGAGAGAGGGAGAGACAGAGATGATGATAATCATGATAATATGGAGGGATAGATAGATAGATAGAGATAAAGAGAGAGAGAGAGAGAGAGAGAGAGAGAGAGAGAGAGAGAGAGAGAGAGTTTTCCTCCCTCATATGTGTGAGTGCATGTTAGTGTTAGTGCCTGTATGACTGTATATTCATGTGCGTTTCTCCGTGTGTATCAATGCATTTTTAAGTGTTTATCTAAATAACTCGCACTATTTACTCTTGTTATGTGATGATTGTATAACATATATATACATATATACGTTATCTTTCGCATGAATACAGAAAACACTGTTCTTCGATCAGAAAGTGATTCGCCAGTATTGCGTATTTGTTTTCGTCATACTCGGATGTTTACGCTAATATTTTCACTCAGTTCAGTCTCAAGTTGATAAATATTGCAGGGCCAAAAAGTGAATTTCTGTGTTAATTTTTCACGTGTTGATTTTTATTTTGGTGACGTATTGAGTTTTGTTGTTGTTACCGTTATCATTAATCTTATCAGTATCATTATTGTCATTGTAATCATTATTATCATCATCTATTTTATCATTATATTCTCTTTAAGAGGCAATATTTGCAGACCTTTAAATTTGGGTCAAGTTTAAATGGCAGCAGACATTTTCTGAATAGTTCAGAGACATCAAGTAACGAATTTATATATATACATGTGTGTATGAATGTATATATATGTATATATATATATATATATATATATATATATATTATATATAATATATATATATCATATATATATATATATATATATATATATATATGTATATGTGTGTGTGTGT